CCTCGCAGCCGGGTGCGGAGCGCGGAAGGGGCAGCCCCAGCTGAGCGGGCGGCACGGACGTAGGACGTTGGTTTTGTCAAAGTCGTGCTTTTGGCGAGCTGCTGAGCTGTTAGGAACAGCGACATGCGAAGAAGGAGAGATAAGGACGATTCCTGGCACGTGTTGATCGGGGGGTGGGTTTGGTTTGGTTTTCAATGTTTCTACTTTTATTATTCTGAGCAAAATTGTATCTGTTCCAGGTTTGGGCTTGCAAATACAGTGCTACCAGTGTGAGGAGTTCCAGCTAAATAATGACTGCTCTGCTCCGGAGTTCATCGTGAATTGTACAGTGAATGTTCAAGATATGTGTCAGAAAGAAGTAATGGAAAAAAGTTTTGGTAAGAATTTAATAATTATACTTGCGTTTAGTTGTGCTGGATGGCGTTTGTTGCTTTTGGCTCCACCCATTCACAGTCTTCAGCTACAGATGAACCTGACATTCCTACCTAAAGGGACCAGATTCAGTTTCTTACACTTCTGAGTGACTTTGCAACTCAATAAAGTTAATCCTTTTTCTTTAAAACTGGTGTAAAAACTGAAGGATGCAAGCCAAATGTTGATAAAGCTGTTAATACACAGTCTTAAGGGTCTCAGATTTCGTTTCCCAGCACTGGGAAATTAATAACAACAAGTTAGTTTAATCTCATTACAGTTAATTACATGGGCTTTTTCCCCAAGAGATGGAAGAGCATTAAATTAGTAATTCCCTCATTTCTTTTATTTACTCTAGCAATTCATATACTCTGAAGGTTCATCCTAAGAAAAGGCAAGTGTAGTCATCTTTGCTTTCATCCATAAAAGAAAACATCAAGCGAAAGGGGGAGAGGGATAAAAAGAACATTTTTGGGAGGAGAGTAAGGCACAAATGGATATATTTGCCATACCATTTTCTAAGTCTAAGGGGACTTTTCCCTCACTGTAATTAATAGTAAGTTAGCGTATTTGGAGATAAATGTGTTGAAGAGGAAACTAGCTGTGATTCTGCATCTCGCCTCTATTGTTTTTTGAGCTGTGCTAGAAATTGCTTTTTTTTTTTTTTGTTCATCGTCATGGAAGGCATGTGAGATATTGAGAGGGAGCTGTCTCGGGTTTTAGGCCACCGCGTTGCTCTGGAGCCACCAGCGTGCGTAGGAGACCGCAGCTTTATCAGGGACGTGGTGCTGGGCGGGGTGGCAAGGAGGTGTGTTTTGGGCACTGGAGGTCGTGCAGCATCCTGCTCTTGCTGCAGGCAGCCGCTGAGGCACCAGGCTTGGACACCAGGCGGTAGGCTTGAGGAGCAGAGGGCGGGTTGGGGCTTCAGAACCCCCCCTCTAAGGGGAAGCTGCTTTCTGGGATTGTGCATCTTGCAACCGTGGGCAATGCTTTGGAGCATGGGGGTTGCTGATGGAAAGGGCTGCTCTGCTGTTAATGTAAATCAGGCTGTTGCCTATCCTTTCTCAGCGAGTCCTTCAGTAGCAGCAGGATCCCTCTACCTTGCAACTGTGTGTGGCCATCTGCCTTGAACAGTAACGTTGGTTCTTGGCATTAGGAAACTATTCATTAGTATTTTCAAAGTGCTTATCAGTCAGCTGGTTCTGCTTGTGCTGGTAGTCTCAGGTCACTGCGTTATGAATAATAGATAAATAGTAACCGTTGTTGTTACCTATCAAAAGTAACTGCACTGCTGGCACTTTGTTTCATCCCGGGTAACACCATCCACTGTGACTGTATTTCTGTAACATACTTAGAATCTCTCCAGTGTAGAAAAAAGCAACGTGTTTAAAGGAAAATTAGTCTCTTTCAAGCTATATATTACTGAAGTATTTTATTTCAAGTTTATTTGGAAAGGGGGGGGGCGCGCTGGGAGACAGTCACAGCTTGCAAGGTGCTTTTAAAGTCCGAGTATCTCTAAAGGAACGTTTGAAGGCTTTGCTATCTGTGCACCACAGCTTCTGCAGTACTTTTAATAGGTTTGAAGGGATGCTGTGGCAATTTGAAGGGCTGTAAACATGGTATGTAGACATAGACAAGAAGTCAGTTCTCACTTGATTCTTAACAGTTGTTCGGTGTTTGTTTGTGGCTTTTTTAAAATATCTTCCCTGGTTCCTTCATGTTTTCATTTCAATACAACCTCAGACTGTATCAGCCTTCCAAAAACGTATCTGCAGCCTCCCCTTTGGGTGCATGTTGGAAAAGTGTTTTCGGTCGGGTAAACCCCTGCCAGGTTAAAGCACAAGTCTTCTGGGTGAGCGGGCTGGCGCCTGTGCACACACACCCTGGCGCGTGCGTTGAGAGACAGGCGCTTGTGCGGGGGGTGGGCTAGGGGTGTCTGGTCAGCCCTGCAGCTCTTCTCAGGCCAGCAGGCATGGCTGCAGGCCGGCCAGTGCCACTGTGGCACGTTGAAAGTGCAAACTGGAACCGCTGTCATGGATTTCAGACGTACATCGATGCGTAACTGGTCCTTACGGCTACGAAGAAATTGGTTTGCAATGTTGTAAATAAGGAGCTCTTAAGAAACTTCCGGATTTTGTTTGTGGGGTTTTTTTCCTGTGCAATTTTATATCGTCTCTGAGCAGATCCTTGGATTTTCTCTTTAGGACGTAACTAGCATACTGTGCATAGCAGGCACCACTATTCTTTTTTATTTAATTTACTTCTATAAATGCAATTCTTGCTCATTTTAAGGTTAGAGATTGTAAATTTCAGTGAGTGAATACATTTAAATTTTTAACCTAACTATTTCAAATTGAGTGAAAATTACATTGCAAGCTTAAGTTTCTCTGTTACCCTCAGTCAACTCTAGAGAGGATTGGCTGTAAAACAGAGATGATTCAGTTCATCATCCTTTATTGGTTTTTTTCCTAATTGATATTTAAATGTGTGTAATATAAACGCCTTATTCTCCCAAGTTTTATTTAATAATTCATTCTACTTCTACCAGTATATTTCATAACTTGATTCTTTTGGTTGTTGCTTATCACTGAGAGCTGAAATGTTTCAAATATTGATTTTAATTTATAATAGACTTGAGTTTGAATTTTTCACCCAGAGTCTGAAAGATGTGAATTTGCATTTATTTGACAGCACAATCTCATAATTAGAGTTTTTCCCCTTGACTAGATACAGTCAAAGGATTATAATTTAATTTTTGTAGACTAACCCATTTTTGTCCTTAATAAAATATAGCTGTGTCAGTGAGCAAAATGTTACAAGTTCTCCTAAACCTTATTTAAAAGTTAAATGCAGTGTTTTGAGATAAAGTTCATGGTCTGAGTCAGTAACGTACTGATGTAGTCACCCTTCCCTTGCAGCATGCGTTAATCTATGGGTTTGTTTTGCTGTCAAGGGGGTCACAGACTTGCGTTCTGTGGCGTGCCTGCAGGGTAGTCCCCAGCGTGGAGCCAGTGACTTTTTCCTTACGTATTGGATGGTGTTCATTGAGTTGCACGATGGCAGCTCCTTGGTTCAGCTTCGTTTCTGTATTAAACTTTCTTTAAACAAGAAACGTTTTTTTTTCATTTGTGTTGTAAATAGCTCCTTATGCCTGATGACAGTTAAACAAACCACTCCTCTTCAGTTGCTGTAAAACTGGGGTTGGTGCTTCAAACGTCACCGCGCTCTCTCAGAACATTATCTCAGTTTCTGGAGAACCAATCTTCGGTGGTGCTTTTTGGCGTCCGATGAGAAGTAACGGCAGCATCGGCACGTTCCTAACCCAGAGCTGAACAAGGGGCCGTTCCTGTGGCAGCCTCTGATGTGAGTAGCTGGGAGCGCAGTTATTAGTCACTAGTATTTTGGAAAGAGATCGTCAAGCACCTTATCTCGGCTGTTTCTAGTGTCAGGTAGGAATCTGCTCCGTTTCACAGCTCCAGATGAATTGAGCAGTATGTCAGCGTGTGTATGATTAAGTGATTATGTGGAACTAGTATAATTCTGCCTCCCCTGCAAACATGCACTTTGCTATGGCAGTTTGTATTTCAGCTGCACTTCGGGGATCTGTCAGTGCACAGAACTGGAGACTTTGTCAAGTAAATGACAAAATATTTTTCTCACTTTAAGCAGAGTTGTATTATAAAAAAATTGCCAGAACAAGTTTTCTGCAGTTATGTTAACATTCTGTTCCAGTGGGAGACACAGAAGGACAAGAAGTATTTTGCCTGCGATGCAGAATCTGATCTAATTTGTTAATTTAATCTTGGGGGGTGGGGGGAAAGCAGTGCTTGCTCTGTTTAGAGGGAAGAATGGTGAGAGTGGGAAGTGGCACTGAAGACTATGCCATGCAGTCCTACAGAAATTTTTGTCCTGCAGAAATTAACTTAAAGGATATGTTTCTGGTGCATTCTTCAGCTGGAAAACCAGGTGTTTGAAAAGTGTGAAAATGAAATGTTTGACAAAGAAGCAAAGTCCTTGCTTATAATAATGCCACTGGCAGATACTTTGTGGAAACACCCATGGCAGATTCCCCTCTCTCCTTCCTATCCGTGAACTTTCAGCTTAGAAATGTCAGTGCTCCTTTGTTCTTAGCATGTATGTAGGAACAAAGAAATCCCACAGTATATTGGGATCAGATGAAACATCTTGATAATACATATGTGAGTATATAATGTATATATGCTTTAAGACATAAACCATAGAAAACATACTGATAATGAAGTTTACCTTTTACTGAAGGTAAGAGCTATCTAAGTGTAAAGGCTGGGCTAAAACCCACTTCAGGCAAAATGAAACTTGCGATGTGAGTAGATCAGGCAGGAATAAAGCATGTGGGATGAGACAGTCAGCCCCGAAAAGCAGCCGGTCTGAATCTCAGAATCTCTGTAAGTAAACCTGCCCACGTGCATGTTTTGAACAATATACCTTGTGCTCTGATGTAGTTGTGAACGGGCTGTTACAAACTTTTTCAAGGATCCACAGTAGCAAGATTGATATTTTAAAAGGTCTACATAAAACTAAGATTGTTTATGAATTTTTGTTTGCAAGTGAATTGGGAAACAACCTCATTATTTTTATTATTCTGTGATAAGAAACTTCTCTTGTTTCATCTACAACGATCCTTTTAATGTGTTTACATAGTATATCATCCTGCAGTCTAATTAAAGCAATTACTGTAATTGTGTGCTTAAAAGTAGTTCACGGGAACATCACAAACAAGAGCATCACCTCACTGTTTAATTTTTATTATTATTATTTATTTATTTAACTTTTCTCAGTATTTCCCATTTGTTTTATCAGGCAGAGGAGAACAGCGTCCAAGTTGAGCTGGCCTACAGAAAATTCTTCACCTGTAGTTCTTACTTTTTTTTTTTATCTTACTATGTTGCTGCCATGATGAAGTTTTCATGTACGGCTGTTACAGATT